ACGCTACCATCGTACCTCAAAGGTTAACAGTGCTAATCTGAATATATTCTAGAGACAGTCATTAGCCTAGAGCGTACGAGGGTAAGGTATAAAGTTGGTTTACCGCGTATTATCCAATACGGGTGATACCACAATATCAATATTTAAAAAACTAGGTAATTGTCTAGGTCCAAACCCAGAGAACAAAATAAACACTATAGAATTTTTCAAAACAACTCAATATTAAAATTATTACAATATGTATACGTATATACGTATCACCACACTCACGTTTGTAACCGAATAGGTACAACTACAGCGGCACAGATATAGATAATAAACACGATTTAAGAAGACCATCAAATCGTGATAATGAATAACATTTCTACTTTTTTTATACTATGGACGTACTGATATAAAAACAATAATAATAAAAAACACGGTCGATGGGGGGGGGCATGGCCCCTCTGCCCCCCCCAAGGCTACGCCACTGGATGCGACCTTTAAGGATATTGTGCAAGCAATCAAACGGGTATTTCGTGGGAAAAAGGCAAGCATGATTGCACCACTGTTGGACCAGTTATACAAGAGTGTAAGCCACCAGGGGGAATCAACCTTGTAAACGGTTTACTTGCAAAGATATTTGCACATAGACAATAGGGATCCAATAAAAGTATTCTGAAATGGAACGACGGATATAACAATAATTAAACGATTAAGATTAAAGGGTATTTTAGCATTTTTAAATATATCAGCATATAGTGTTAGGAACAATGATGAATTTAATTTAGAACTAACAAATTTAGAAACTAAAGAAGTTTTATGTTCAGGGTATTTAGGAAAAATAAATAAAAACGGCAGAATGTTAGGACTATCAGAAGCGCATGGATTAATGTGCGATACTAATCATAATATTACGCATTGTCATGATCCAATTGCCAACTTAATCTTAAAAAAATGTCTATTCAATTATGTAGTTTCAGAATAAGACCCATATATTTATATAAATTAGCGAGGAAATATAAAGGAAATTATAATCAGAATAAATAAATTATTATAGTTAATATAGAAATAAAATAAATAAGTTTAAGAAAAAATAAATTAAAATAAATTTACGATGAAGGTAAATACATAATTTTAAGTAAATTTTAAGTAAACAAAACTCTATGGTTGCATAATATGTGTGTAACAATTTTAACAATTATCCATATAGATTTAGTATAATAATTAATTGGTTGAAGATAATATTTATTATTGTATTCACGGGAAAATACTTACATTATATACTTACATAACACTTTTAATATTGTAAGTTCAGGTACAAATATTATTTTATTGTTTTGAAAAGATTATTACTCCTTATTACTGACACTAGTCATTTAATAATTTATGTATTAAATTTATTTTTTCTAATCACGATATACAACTTATAATATGGAAAAAATATATATGTAAACAATAATTATGTATGACACTAAAAATTGTAAATGTCTACACTGTAACATCATTGTAAATCATTATTGTAAACTGATATAACTAAATTGTAGTCAAATGTATGTCAAATTGTAAATCCTCTATTATGATTAATTAACTTAAATATGATTGTTAAAGATTCTTAACCCTTATAGGTTAACAATCTTTTTTTTGGTGGGGAGGTGTAATGGGATTACGCAATTCATGTAAACGCTCATAATAACAAGAACCACTTATGTGAAAGGCGGCCTCGTCGACCGCACCCAAAAGTGGTCATAGCTAGAATATACGCTCCAAACCACTACAACTTACCAAGGGCGCCTACATGCCACGCGCCGCTCAATTCAAAGGGCGTCGCCTTCGTATATATAGAGGCCAGGGCCCCAATACACATTAGATGTACCAGAGCCGCCAAGACCGAGCGAGCAGCTTATGCACCAGCCATTACACACAACTTACACGGAGATCAACTACTACAACGAGTCAACTCACGGCTTTACAATTCACCACGACTATATTAATTATTATTGGTTTTAATAAATTACAATTGATTTATATTTAAATTGACTATATTTTATTATAAAAGTATATCAGCTTTTGGATTCCTGAAGGGCAGCACGTAACAGCTGGGAACACTTGTCTCCACCCCCACCCATGGCTAATAATTGGTTTTCCTGAATTTTTTTATTCCTATAAATAGTACGTCATTCCTATGAATTCCTATGATATATTTCGGAATTCCTACGAAAGAATTCCGGCCTCAAATAAACGATTCCCGTGGGTAGTTTTTGGTAAAAAATTATATAAAAATTTTATATTTGATAACAAATTCTTGATTTTTGAATTTCTATTTAGACTTTTTTAAGATTTTTTTTATTGAATATAGATTTTTTACCAAATTTAGATTTAAAAAAAATATAAATTGAGACATAAACTACAGTTTACCTACATATAAAATAAATCTAAAAATAGACATAAAGATTTCTGATAAAACCATTTTATAACACTAAGAGGAATTTATAAAAATTATAAAAAAATTAATGTATAAAAGTTATGAATACAATTAATGTGTACATACAATTCATAAATAGTTAAGAATAATTAATAAAATTAATGTTATATATTTTTAATAAATCATTTTTTTAAAGTATTTTTTACTTTATTTATTAATTTTATTTTTATAACTAAAAAAATATGTATTTTAAACATTTTTACTAATTATTTTATTACGTATGTTTGTGGATATATTTTTTATTAATCTTAGATATACATCATTTTAACTAATTATTTTTAGAAATCTTTAAAAATTATTATTGATTTAAAAAAATATATCTCATAGACATTATAATAATAATAATTAATATATACACAATTATAAATGCACATATTAAATTATATATCAGTAAGGATTGTTCATATTCATAGTATTTATGTAAATCTATTTAATCGTTTTGAAATTGTTATTTATATTTATTCTTCATTCAAATTATTAAATATAGATTTTTCCAAATGTTAAATTTTAACAAATAACAGATATAATTTATATAAAAAAATGTATTGATACAAACTAATGGATTTTCATTTATATTTATATTTGTTTTCTTGCATTTAGATTTGTTTTATTCAAACAAGATATTTTTATTCAAATCGAACGTAAAAAAAAAATCTTGAAAACAGAAAAGACTAGTTGTATAAAAATCCATGTATAAAAAAAATGTCATAAAAAAGTTTTGGTAAAAATAAAAAAAACTATATAAAAAATCTATATTTGATAAAAATTTTTGATTTTTTAATTTCTATTTAGCCTTTTTTATGATTTTTTTTATTGAATATAGATATTTACCAAATATTTTTATTTTTATTTTCATTACCTATATAATTAAATTTTTTATTTATTTGTTGCTGTCTAATATTATTCTACATTAATTTCTATTAAAATAATTTATTCTGCATTTCTCAATTGGCTAATACTTTTTTTTTAAGATACATTTTGTAGTCAATGTTTTCATACGAATTCGGGTAACTAATTTTTAATGAAAAAAACATTTTCAATGCCATTTGTATTTGATTTTGCTATACACGACTTGATGATCAATTTCCATCCTATCTCCTCGGATTTCAACTCAGTGTTATTAGAGTACTTAAACTTATTTTTCACTAATAATACATTTTTTTGTACTACCTTACATAAGACTGATGTCACTGTTCATATTTACAGGACATTCACAGCATAGACAGTATGTAAATATGTCAATATAGGAAACATACGCAGATATAGACAATTAATCGCTACACAATTATGATTAGAAGTGGCTTTGCATGACATAATAGTTTAATTTCAATAGAGATTTGCACTGATATAGAGATATGTTAATAGGTTTATTGATAAATGTGAAGCTCTAGTGTTTAAGATATTTTAAACAGTTTTATACTTGTATGGCGTGTGGACTTTTGGTGTTAAAAATATTTTTAGAATGCACCGTCTGTCTTACCACTGTCATAGAAAAACTCATTAAAAATGTCAACTAACAACATAAAACCACTTACCATATTCTTATGGAACGCCAACGGTATTCTCCAACACCTAAATGAACCCCAAATCGTACTCAATGAAAAAAAAATCGAAATCGCACTTATTTCTGAAACCCATCTTACAAAATCTTCTATACTCAAAATATACGGATATGAAATAATTAGAGCAGATCATCCAGACGGAACGGCGCATGGTGGAGCTGCACTTATAATCTCCAACCGAATTGAACACTCCCCCCTGCCACCACATAGGAGTGTCAATATTCAATCAGCTAGTACAACCTTAAAAATAAACTCGGTACCTATATCTATAGCATCCTGTTACTTCCCCCCAGGAATACCATTTCCTATACCTGAACTCATCATTCTTCTTCAATATATCAGTCACAGCTATATTATAGGCGCGGATTTCAATGCCAAACACCAAACCTGGAGGAATTCCACCAACACCCGGGGCCGCGCTCTACACAACCTCATTACACAAAAACATCTCAAACTATTATCAAGCACCACTCCGACTTATTGGCCAACTCATGCTAATCGTCATCCAGACACCATTGATTTCTTCATCTCTAACATGCCAAATCGTTTTATCACACACGTTACAAATCTAAACGATCCAGCGTCTGATCATACCCCAGTTCTTCTTCACATAGGAGCACAACCCCTATTGAAACAAAATCGACCAACCATCACTCCTGGAATCACAAACTGGAACACATTCAGAAATATACTTTCAAAAAAAACTATACTTAATGTTAAGTTAAAATCATCAGCTGATATTGACAGCGCAATAAATTTACTTACCAACAATATACAAAATGCAGCTAAAGACTCTTCAACCCAGAGACCAAGCAAGAGCCCAACTAACAATTTAACCCCAGAGCTAAGGCAATTATTAGCTGAGAAACGTCGAGCAAGGTCTACCTGGCAGCGAACCCACTACCCAGACGATAAGACAAGATACAACATGCTTTCAAATAAACTTAAATCTTCTTCTTCTTCTTCTTCGGTTTTTAAAGGCCATTGAGGCCCATTACCGCAACACAAACTTGCTTCCATCTGTCTCTGTCTTGTGCTATTGTTTCTCCATCTCGTATTCCGATCTCTGCTAAGTTCTTCTCCACTTTGTCGATCCACCTTTGTTTCGGCCTGCCAAGTGGTCTTTCCCCCTGGGGTTTCCATTTTAAAACTTCTTTCATAAGAACATTTGACCTCCATACATGACCGGCCCATGCCATTCTCCTATTTTTTAATACTGCTACTATGTCTGGCTCTTTATATAACTGTTGTATTTCTATATTGTTTCTTTTCTCATATTGTTGTGTCATGTTATTTATTTTTGGCCCAAATATTATTCTTAATATTCTTCTTTCGAGTATTGCTAATTTGTCTTCGTCTCCTTTAGTCGTTGGCCATGTTTCACACGCATATAGAAGGACTGGTCTGATAATTACCTTGTATATTGTGATTTTTGATTTGAGTGATACCTGTTTTGATTTTAGTATACTCGTTACTCCGTAATAGCATTTATTTGCTGCAGTTAGTCTTATTTTAATTTCGTCGTGATTATTATTTTTGCTATTTATTGTAACACCCAGGTATTTAAAATTTTGTACTCTTTCAAATTTATAATTCTCAACTTCTAAATTTTCCTCGTGATTTTCTCGCCTAGATATTACCATATATTTGGTTTTCCCTTCGTTTATTTGTAATCCAATGTCTTTGCTGTTTATTATTAGTTCTTTGGTTCCAGCTTTGACTTCTTGACTGTCTGATCCCAATATGATAATATCATCTGCGTACGCTAGTACTCCGCATTGTCTTCTGTTCTCTTCCAAGTTTACCCCACCATATTTTTTCTGAGTTTTTCTAACTACCATAAGAGTATTGGGGATAGGGCATCTCCCTGTCGAAGTCCAGTCTTAACTTCAAATTCATCTGATATATGCTGATTGAATCTAACTTTACATCTGGTTTTATTCATACATAATTTGATCATTTTCACTATCTTAGCTGGTATCCCAAAGGTTATAAGTGTGTCCCATAGTACTTCTCTATTAATTGAATCATAAGCCTGTTTATAGTCAATAAATAGTAGATATAGATCATTATCGAATTCATAATGTTTCTCAACTAGTTGTTTAACAGTGAAAATGTGATCTATGGTGGATTTACCACTCATAAAACCACATTGGTAGTCCCCAATGATATCTTTTATGTAAGGTTTTATTCTGTTTAGTATGAGACCTGACAATACTTTGTACATTGTATTTAGCAACGATATTCCTCGGTAATTTTGGTATCTTGATCTGTCTCCCTTTTTATAAATTGCTCATATTATTGCTAATTGCCATTATTTTGGTATTTCTTCTTTATGCCATACATCCCTGATTAATTTCCCTACTTCTCTTATTAGTTCCTCACCACCATACTTTAAGAGTTCTGAAGCTAAGCCACCTTCACCTGGCGATTTATTGTTTTTAAGTGTGTTTATGGTCATTCTAACTTCGTCGTCCGTTGGTTCTAGCAGGTCTTCAGGTTCTGCTGTATAGTTCTCAATTTGCGTATGGTCTTGGTGCGTTTGTGGGTTGAGTAGTTCCTTGAACACTTTCCCAAACTGTTTTGCAATTTCTTCTCCTTCTGTTACAAGTTCTCCATTTTCTTCTTTCATTATTTCTTTTCTGGGGTTATACTCCGTTTTTAATTCTTTTGTTTGTTTGAAGAAGAGTTTCGGGTTCGTCCTGTTGTCTTCAATCTGTTTTATTCTTTCCTTTTCCCATAATCGTTTTTCCCTTCTTATTATACGTTTAGCTTCTCTAAGCTTCTGGGCAAAATTGTTATTGTTTCCTGTGTTTGGGTTTGTAAGCATCAATAATATCGCTTTATCCCTTTCTTCAATTGCTCTTTGACACTTATCGTTAAACCATTTATGCTTTTGTACTTTTTTCTTTTTTCCTAGGTGTTCCAAAGCAGTTTTTATTATTCCCTCTAATTTTTTCCAACGGGTTTCAATATTTTCTGCCTCTATTCCGTCCTTTAATTTGTTCTTTAGTTTATTTTTGTATTCTTTTAACATTTCAGAGTTTTTTATGTTATCTATATCAACTTTTTCTTCTATTATTATTCTTTTTCTCCGTTTACGAGGTAGTTTAATTTGTATTTGAGCTTTAACTAAGAAGTGGTCTGACTGAGCAGACACTCCACGAAGGCTCCTGACATCTTCTATAATATTGTTTATCTTCATATCTGTCATGATACGATCAATTTGGTTTTTGGTACTACCTCCAAATACACAAAAATGACTCATATAAAAACCATCTACAAAATCTATCACTAAAAAACGGCTCTCTCTGGCGCAAAACTAAATCAATTCTTCGACTCTTTGAAACCACGCCCCCTCTTCTCCGGCCAAACAACTCTATAGCAACTACTGACAAGGAAAAAGACGACGCACTAGCTGAGGAACTATCATCAGTATTTGTTCCACAATCAATCTCTGCACCTAGAGATGGTCGCTGAATCACTCTACTCCCCATTACCCATGGCACTACCCGTCAAACCCACCTCACCAGCTGAAATAAGTGGTATAATAAAAAAAGTAGCCAACAGAAAATCTCCTGGTCACGATCTCATAACCAACAAAGTAATCAAAAATCTTCCTGCAAAAACAATAATCTTTCTCGCTCATATTTATAATGCAACTCTACGACTATCTTATTTTCCATCAACTTGGAAATCATCAGTTATTGTGACAATACTCAAACCTGGCAAACCACCCGAACACCCTTCATCGTACCGGCCCATAAGTCTTCTTCCAGTGCTTGGTAAAATTCTGGAAAAAATACTACTAAAGCGCCTCTCTCATATAACTACAGTAAATAAAAACATACCCAACTTCCAATTCGGCTTTCGCACAAACCACTCCACAATCCACCAGTTACACCGGGTCACTGACACAATCTCAACTGCCTTAGAAACCAAAAAATACTGTGCCGGACTATTTTTGGACGTAGCCAAAGCATTCGACACTGTCTGGTATGATGGACTACTTTTAAAATTAATAACTCTCTTTCCTGTCCCTTACTATCTAATATTAAAATCATATTTAGACAACCGCAAATTCAAGTTCCGCCACAACCTCGAACACTCGAAACAATTTCCTATTGCGGCTGGGGTCCCTCAAGGCAGTGTTATTGCACCTTTTCTATACACTATCTACACATCAGATCTGCCCACATCTGAAAATACAATCCTCGGAACCTATGCAGACGATACCGCAATCCTCTCTACGGCGACAGACCATACCACTGCAAGTCTCCAATTACAAACACACGTTGACATCCTCTCTCAATGGTTCGCTAAATGGAGAATAAAAATAAATGAAACGAAGTCTTCCTTTATCACCTTCTCTCTTAGGTGTCATTACTGTCCTCCAGTAACAATGAATAATATTATGATCCCTCATTCAAACGAAGTAAAATATCTTGGTTTGATATTTTACAGACGACTAACATGGTCATCTCACCTCAAGAATAAACTCAAAAAGCTGAATTCAAGACTGCACCTACTAAGGTCACTCCTACGCTCAAACCTATTATTAAACATTAAAATATTATTATACAAAACTCTCATACAACCACTTTGGGCATACGGGGTGGTAGTATGGGGTTCTGCCAAAAAATCAAACAAGAGAACCATTCAAGCCTTCCAAAATATCTGTTGTCGTCTAATTACAGGAGCACCCTGGTACGTCTCCAATAACATTATAAACTCCGATCTCAAAATCCGCTCTGTCAACGATACAGCCACTCTATATTACAAACGCTTCCACGCAAAACTCCAATCCAACCCCAACCAACTCATCAAGGACCTCGCTACACCAGCACTACCCGGAAATCCAACTATACTCTATTTACCGAGAGTTGACCCACTCCGCGCATGCATACTGAGCCGCCGGAACATTCATACCCCCGAGTAGGAGACCGCGGCGGTCTGTGATTGGTCGACGATCACCACCAGGGCTGAAACGAGCGGTGGCATGCGCAGCCGCGACCGGTTTTCGTCGGGCGAGTGGGTCAACTCTCGGTAAATAGAGTATAGACGTCTCAAGCGGAACTGGTGCCGCGACTTAAAAATTTTATAAATTGTAAATAAATGTCATTGTAATAAATTGTAAATGTTTTTGTAAAGCCACTAGGTGTCTCTAATGAGAGATTTCCTACCATGTCATCATTAGTTCATAGTTTTTCATTCTTTTCACCATAATTATTACTTATTGTACACCCCTGTATAGATTGTAATATTTAAAAATAAAGTCATATTTAAAAAAAAAAAAAAAAAAAAGAATGCACCGTATTTCTGTCCGTTCATTTTTTCGACCGTACGGAAATACGGAGCTACGGATTAACAAAATATTTTTATTCATGCGGAACTACAGTGTTTTCTATAATGACCATAATTGTTCCTGTACAAGTATATGATAATGCATGTTTATTACTTTATATGGTTGAAGGGCCTATCCATATCTTTATTATAATTGGTATGCTCACCCGATGTATTTGAATAATACTATGATAAGGTTTCTCGTGTTGTTGTGAGACAAATGACGCCCAACGGCGACATCGTATCGAAAGGTGAATTGTTACAGAACCAATACAGTGACAAAAATAACATGTTGGTTCATTTTTAATTACATACAATTATCATCGTAATTTGTTATGTCTGGAGATAAGAATCGACATTTGTTATTCATTATTATAACTGATATGTGACAATCAATTGTATCACTTGTTCAATGTTAATTAAACAAATTATAGTAACTCCTTTTTGATAATTAAAAAAAAATTAGTGGAACAAAGCCTTCTGTGCCACCTGCGGCTGTAATGGATGCAGTCTTACAATTTATAAATAGAGTTGTACACATTGATATGAATGGTGAAAAAAGTAAGTACCTAACTACACGTTATTAAAATTAAATATACTTAATCACTCAAGTAAAAATATGATATATATGCTAACACAATTTCTTTTGAAACACGATGAATTTAAATAACGCAAGCGGAAACCCTGTCAAAGATATGGGGAGGGATACTTAAAAATCAGATAGCACATAGATTCGTGGTGGCCACACCCACAACATATTTACTGAAACAAATATTCAAAATATTTTTAGAACCTAATATCAAACTGTAATATCTTATAAAGGTAGCATAATACTTGTAGTAAACAACTTTACTTTATTTAGTATAAATTAATATATAACACACACATGGTTGTCTACAGTTCTTGTTACAACATGTTACATTATAATTATTAGGTTATGTTATCATAATATACATTATCATATGACGTTATCACAGTCCTTATCCCTAGTTACATCAATACATAATGAATAACAATTAATAGCTAATACATAATTAAATCTTTTTCATTATACAAAATCAACAAAATCAACTTAACTAATAAACATCATACAACAAATATAAAACCTAAATAATTATATAATACAATTTTATATGTTCAACCTATCTGGTTTTTTTCTTTTTCTCTTAGATCTTTTTGGTAAAGGAACTTCTACTTCCTTTTCTAAACTTTCATTTATTTCATATTTTTTTTTATCAATAGCTTCTTCTTTTACCTCATTAATTTTCTTTTCCTCCAGTTCTGTTTGTTCTTCTCCTTCCTCATTTTCTTCTATTTCAAAACTCTTTTCATTTATCTTACCTACTTCTATGAGTTGGTCAACGTGTCTTCTCCATATCACATTTCCTTTTTCTAATCTAACTAAATATATTCTATCACCTAACACTTCTTCGACTGTTCCTTTCTTCCACTCTTTTTTATTAGGGTTGGAATAATCCCTAGCATAAACTATGTCTCCTTCTTTAAAATATACTTTTCTAAATCTTTTTACATACTTATTTTTTTCTATAGGAATATATAATTGATCTAACCTAGTTTTAATTTTCCTTCCAAACATTCTATAACTTGGTGACTCACCAGTTATCCAGTGTGGTGTATTCCTATATGTCAGTAGATATCTTTGAATTAATGTATTTAAAGAAACATTTTTATTTATTTTATCCTTAACTGCCTTTAATATACCATTTTTTAAAGATTTAACAGCATTTTCTGCCGATCCATTTGTAGCCGGATGATAAGGAGGGGACGTTACAAACCTAATCATATTATTTTTACAAAATTGTATAAACTCCTCTGATCTAAATTGCGGTCCATTATCTGACACAATTTTGTTCGGTAATCCAAACCTAGCAAATATCTCTCTTAACTTTTCAATAACCGAACCACTGTTCAATATTTTCATTTCAGCTACTTCTGGCCATTTTGTAAATATATCTGTCATGATCAAATAGTTTTTACCTTGTAAATATAGAAAATCTATGTGTATTCTATCCATTGGACAACTCGCTTCCTCCCACTTTTTTGGTTCAGCTAAAATTGGTTCTGATCTACTTTGTAAACAAGCATCACAACTTTGTACCCACTTTTCTATATCTTTATCTAATCCAGGCCACCACATGTATGATCTACACAATGTTTTCATTTTAGACATACCCATATGCGTTGAATGTACTTCTTTCAATAAATCCTTCCTCAGAACTTTAGGAATTAATATTCTATACCCCCACATTAATATATCTTTATCTACACAAAATTCTTCCTCTCTAATTGCATAAGGTTTCAGTTCCTCGCTTACTTTTATCGGCCAACCTTCATTCAAAAACTTAATAACTAAACTAAACTCTTTATCTTTCTTAGTTTCTACTCTAAGTATCTCATAATCAATAGGCATAGTATTTTCCATAAAATCAACATAATCCACTTCTTTTGTTTGAATTAATACATCATCTTTATCAGGTAATCTAGAAAGTCCATCTGCCACTTTATTATCATTACCTTTAAAATGTACCACTTGATAATCAAACTCAGATAAATATAACGCCCACCTTTGAATTCTCCCAGAGGCCATAACAGGAATACCTTTCTTTTCCCCATACAACGCTAACAAAGGTTTATGGTCAGTCTCCAGAAAAAATTTTCTACCCAAAAGATACTGAGAAAATTTCTTTACCCCCCAGAAAACCGCTAAAGCCTCTTTTTGTATTACTGAGTATTTTCTTTCAGCCACGGTTAGGATTCTTGATGCATACCCCACTGGTCGCTTTTCTCCATTTTCAAAAATATGCATTAACACTGCTCCTATACCATACTCCGACGCATCGCAAGACAATACAACATCCAAATCAGGATTGTAATGAACCAATAATGATTCTGATGCCATTGCTTGCTTTGTCTTATTAAATGCCTCTCTACATTCCTTTGTCCAAACAAATTTTACCTCTTTTTTTAACAAATTGTAAATAGGACCTAGTAAGGTTGATAAATTTGGTATAAACTTAACATAGTAGTTCACCATCCCTGTAAAGGCTTTTACTTCTGTGACACGCTTAGGCTCTATTGCATTAAGCATAGCTTTAACTTTATTTTCATCTCTTTCAATACCTTCTGATCCAATTACATGTCCTAGGTAATTTATTTTTGGTTGAAAAAAACTACATTTTTTTTTATTTAACCTAAACCCAGCCTTTTGTAACCTTTTAAACACCTCCCTGAGATTATCTAAGTGTTCCTGTTCACTACTACCAGTTACAATAATGTCATCTAAAAAGTTTTTAACACCCTTTGTTCCTAACAGCACTTTTTCAATAACACTCTGAAACTTTGAACAAGCTGGTTTGGTACCGAAAGGTAATCTTTTTACTAAATAAATACCTTTACTTGTACTCCAAGCTAATAGTTTTTGTGTATTTTCACATAACTCTAGCTGGTTATAAGCATTCAAAAAATCTAATTTAGAAAATGTTTTACCTCCTTGTAACGCCACAAAAACATCTTCTACTCTTGGTAATGGATGATTAATATCTACTAAATATTTATTGACCGTAGTCTTATAATCTGCACATAATCTAATAGATCCATCTGGTTTAATCACAGGTACAAGTGGAGTGCCCCATTCACTAGTCTCAACTTTCTGTATTATATCCTCCTTTTCTAATCTATCCAACTCCTCATCAACTTTTTTTTTAAAAGCAAAAGGTATTGGTCTTGGTTTACAAAATACAGGTGTACATCCTTCTTTAACTTTCAATGTCACTTTTTCATATTTATATTTACCAACTTTTTCCTCAAATAATTCCTCAAATTCATTCATTAGTAACTCTAATTTATTATTCTTATTTGTGCTTTCTACTTCAATCTTTGAAATACCCATAATCGTTATTCCTAATTTTTTCATTAAATCTCTACCTACCAGAGCTCTATGTCCTTTTTTTACTACTAATAATTTACCATATAACTCTCTTTCACCATACTTCAATTTTACTTCAATTTCTCCTGTTGGTTTAATAATTGAACCATCATACGTTCTATGATTATTATCTTTTAATAGTATTAAATCATTAACGTGTAGTTCTTGTGGATTTTCATTTTTATCATAACGTTCTTTACTTTTTATTTTATTTTTAATTAAATGATCTCTAGCTATTTTATGCGAAATTTGCATATTTTCTTTTAGATCGAATATATAATCATCATAATTGTAACGTGGTTCAGGTTCGGCTTTTAATCTAATCGGTACCTCCAACGTACGTCCATAGACTAATGCGTATAGTTGAAAATTAGTAGAAGTATGTACCGTTGAATTATATACAAAGAATGCAAAGGGTAGTAAATGGTCCCAATTATTTAAATTCTTATCTACATAATGTCTTAAGTACTCGGCTAAGGTCCTATGAGCGCGTTCTACGGGGTTACCCTGTGGTCTGAATGGACTTGTGTTAACCTTTTCTATCTTTAATATTTTACAAACATTTGCAAACGTTTTCGAGAGGAAATTAGTTCCTTGATCCGTGAGTATTGTTTCTGGTATGCCGTGTACACAAACGAAGTGTGTAACAAAGGCTTCCGCAACAGTATTTGCCTTCTGGTCAGGAAGTGGAATTCCTAAAGTGTAACGTGTCAAATCGTCCTCCATCGTTAAAATGTATACATTATTGGACAGTGTAATCGGCAAGGGCCCTACTATATCCATAAATATTTTTTCGAATGGTTTAGACGAAGTGGATGTAATAGCCATTGGTTGTTTTATGTGTCGATTTGATACCTTATTAACCTGACATGACGCACAATTTTTTATATATTTTCTAACGTCTTCTTTCATACCCTTCCATAAGAATTGTTTTTTTAATGCGCTTAATGGTTTTATTCACACCTAAATGTTCGCCTAGTTTTGAGTCGTGAAATTGTGATAAAATGACTGCTTTTTCTTCTTCACTATATTCTACATTCGCACATGTAATTATTGCTATATCTGTATTGCAAAATATGTATTGTAACATTGACCTTATTTTTTTTCCTTTTTAAATTATCGTGATCGCCTATCTTACCCATGGCTAATTTATTCAGATTGTTTTCCTTACAAAATGATTTTAAATTTATTAGTGATAAATGTATGCTTTCTAAGAATATTATAAACCTGTTTTCCTGTTTGAAATAGGGTGTGTCTCCTATTACTTTACTAGTCGGCAATATTGTACCGTTTCCAAATTGTTTTTTTTAATTGATAATTCGTTCCTGTTTTAAAATTATATTGCTTGGCAATTTCTGATACTATATTATATTTTTTTTGTGAATCTATTAGTGTACCTATAGTTTCTTTTACATTAATATTTGTGATAATTTGTGTTTCTAATTTTTCGAGAAATTTTTCGTAAGATTCCTTTTTTTATTTCCTGAATAGAATACATGCGTGTGAGTGCATCTACATTCGAATTTAAAACTCCGGGTTTGTAACGTATTTCGTAATCGTACTCCTCTAATTGTATTCTCCATCTAGCTAATTTTGATAATGGATTTTTCAAATTAAAAAGCCATGTTAATGGACGATGATCACTAAGTATTATAAACTTCCTACCGTATAAATATGGTCGAAACTGTTTTACTCCGAATAATTATTGCAAGACATTCTAATTCTGTTGTTGAATAGTTGCTTTCGCTTTTATTTAATGTGCGTGACGCATAACATATTGGCAAATTTTTACCTATTTCTCCTTGAGATAAAATAGCCCCGAGTGCTTTATTACTCGCGTTTGTAGTTAATAAGAAAGTCTTTGTGAAATCCGGATATTTTAGAACTGGTTCTGAGCATAACGCTGCCTTCAAGGTATCGAATGACTTTTGACATTCGTTACTCCATACAAAACTCGTGTCTTTCTTTAATAAATTGGTTAATGGTTTTGCTATTGCACTATATGAATTTATGAATTTTCTATAATAGCCACTTAATCCTAAAAATGATTTAATGTTTTTTACAGTTGTTGTTATTGGAAATTCTACTACTGCTTTTAATTTACGTTCGTCGGGTTTTATTCCGTCTTTCGTAATAACGTGTCCTAGATATACACATTCTCTTTTTAAGAAGTTGCATTTATCTGGTTGTAATTTTAAGTTACTTATTCGTAAACTCTCGAAAACTTCTATTAACTTTTCGTTATGATCATATAAATTTTTTCCATATACTATTATATCATCTAAGTATACTAAGCATTTTATTCCTATTAAACCTGCCAGAGCTGAATTCATAACTGTTTACGCAAGTCGTCGCAAAATCGTGCCGCTATCAGTGTTGGCGATTCTACCTGTAGGCCGCCGATTAAGCTTGCGTATTCCCCTTCCCACCCGACGTGGTATCGACCTGGCTGGCTATTTTGCATGTTGTGCCGGCGCGCCGGTGTGTCTACAACCAGTTGCCCCGTCTCTCTTGTCATCGGACGTCGCTGCCTTTGACGTCCGTGGGGACCTTGTGGGTATTGACCGGTGTTCCGACGTCCGACCGTTATAATGTGCTGGTCTACCTTTGAATTACGCGTCGTATTATACTCGTCTCGTGTGTTATAATCGTCAATCGCCATCAAACGGTGCACATCGAGTACTGTTGTGTCGCGTGCGTCGTACGTACGTACTCACATTGTTGTGGCGTACACGTTACGTAAGATCGCGAAACTCAGCCGCCGCCGATCTAATTAAGTGCTAGGTGCAGTGCGTTATACAGTGAGCCATCGCCGCCGGCACCGCACGCCGCCCATCCCATCTTCAATCGAAGGTCGTGGCAACACAGCCGCCGTCGGTCTATCTTTATACCGGTATATGGGTCAACGCCGTCGCCCGTCGTCCGCCACCTACTCCGACTATCTCTACCGCCCGACAACACCAGCGCCGCCTCCACCGTAGTAGATAAGTCCTATCATTGTTGTTATATATTATTATATTATATTTTACTGTTTGTATTTGGTAGCTGGACTTAGAGACGTCTAGTCAGCTACGTTTGTAATGTCAGCCGTTCTTAGGCCTGTCAAATAATATAAACATTACATTTAAATTTGGTGTACCCCTTTATTACGTTGGTATAATAATATCAATTGTCATACGCTGTACCAAGAGTCCTGACAATGCGAGTACGTCGTGTCAACTGCGATACGAAAGAACACGACGTGCGTTAACAATAACTCTTTGGAAAGTTCCGGGACTCAGCTTCATTCCCTGTATCATTCGTTTGAAATGCCAGTGACCTTGGTTAGTCGAAAAGGCTGTTAACTCTCGTGAGTCCTTTTCCATCAAAATTTGGTAAAAACCACTCGATAAATCTAAAAGAGAGAATAATTGACTATTTCCTAGTTGATCTAGTATTTCTGTAATATTTGGTAAAGGGTGAAATTCATTTATAGTAGCTTCGTTAAGTGCCCTAAAGTCTACTACTACTCTAAACTTTTGTTTGCCTGAATTATCCATTTTCTTTTGTACTAATAATAGTGGGGAGTTCCATGGACTTCTCGATTTCTCGATAATTCCATTTTCTTCCATTTTTGGAATTTGTGAATTTGTGAATTTATTTCCTCATTTCTTCCTGTTGGGCGTGTGGTAATCTATAAGGTCTACGATAGATAGGTGGTTGATCCTTTTTTAACTTAATAGAATGTGTGCCGACATTGGTAAAGGTTAAAACATCTCCTTCCAAATGAAATATGTTATTATATCGTTCGCATATTTCGTAAATAGATTGTTTTTCAATTTCGTCCATGTGGTCAGTTATTATTACTTGTTTCAAACGTTCTATTCGTTCTTTATGATCATTTGTCGATTCTACATTATATATTTCGTATTCAGTATCAAAGAGTATTTTATTTAAATCAATTTCAGATATATTTTTCGTTTCTACCGAGATATTCAACATGCTGACTATTGCCCTACCATTATTAACGATAGACACTGTACTACTGCAATATACGTCTTTTACTAGTTCTTGTTTATGTATAAATATTTCCTTGCTTTCTATTAGCGGGTCAGCTATCTGTATTAATACAATAGTTTCAATCCGCGGATTTAATTTAATAAAGCTGGTTTTGTCGGTCTCTTTGAAATTTGTTAGTGCATGCGAGGTCGTTTGAATAATTAATTTGTTGTTTGCTACATCGACTATTGCGTTATTTTTCGACAAGAACTCGTTTCCTAATATTCCGTCCTCTTGTATTGGGAATCGTGCACTCACGATATGAAATTCTGTTTTAATGTTTTCGCCATTTAATTTAATTAATATTGATATTTTCCCTATGGTTTTTGTAAGACATTCATTTATACCGCGCAGATTTATTTTTTGTGTTTCGTCTACTTCTAGTTCTTCGCGTAAGCAATTTATTTTGAGAATGTTTACCTGACTACCTGTATCTATCATTAAATGTAACTGATTTGTTTTTGTGGCATTAGAATTGAATGTTATATGATTATTTTCTAGTGTTGCGAATATGTGAAATATTCGTGCGTCGGTTGTTCCGCGATAATCTGGTTTATCGTGCGAGTACCGCGTACCTCGTTCGATACATTGGCGTTTCCCGAATTATTTCTACTTTCGTCGTTTCTCTTTTTATAACATGAATCTACATTATGACCGTTTTTATTGCAATATGAACACGTAACTGGTTGTACATTATAATTTGTCGGCGGTTGCGTAAAATTATTTCTATTAGGTGGACGGTTGTTATTTCCGTTGCTCGCGTAGTTAGGTCTCGAATTATTTCTACATTGTGATGCAAAATGATTTCCATTGCAGTTATAACATTTAATTGGTGGTCTATTAATTGGTTGAGAGAAGTTGTTTGCTCGTGGATAATTATTTTGCGCAAAATTATTCGGCCTTATAAAGTTATTTGGTCTAGCGTTCCTGTTGTTCTTATTTTCATAATTTGGTCTACGTTGATTATTGTTTTGTGAATAACTACTCGAATAATGGTTCCTATTTTCCTGTTCTAATCTTAGTTCTACCTGTTCTGACATAGCGATTTGTTTCGCGATCTCCAGAGTTTTAGCATTACGAGATTTTACTATCGTTCTAATCGGTTCTACTAGTCCTTTAATAAATATTGCTAGAGTTTGGTCCCTTAATGTTTCATGTATAATTTTTGCTTCTGCAGACTCTTTGTTTAATGTGCTTACTTTACATAACTGATAATATAGTTTCTCTACTCTATGGCAATAATCGTTTACATCCTCATTGTGATTCATTCTAATCGAATTTAATTGAAGTTGTAACGACGATGCATTGGTTGTCACTTCGAATGCGTCTGTTAAATACGCTTTTATAAATTGCCATTTTGTTACGTTTTTATATTTAATCATTTCTAATGCTCTACCCGTTAATCGTGTAGTAATGTATTTTACTAATATTGGTGCACTGTTTGTGTCGACTAAACCTACTGCCATATCACATGCATTTATGAATTGGTAGATATCGTCTATCCCTGTGCATATTGGAATTAATTTGAAAGCGTCTTCTAATTTTATGGTTACTGCCATTTTTTAATGCGTGGTTTAGATATAGAATCTAACGACTGATGTTCAAAACTATCTGTAACTTTGCTACGTGTGACTACTCCTAATTGTGGACTTGGGGTTTTACTTGTGCTACCTACTAACTGGGTATCT